TCCCGCAAGGCCCTGATCTCAAGTGGGAGTAGAGATGTAAAATTTCTGGAAATTTTGAAGCTTGGGGGGAAAAAACGGGGGGAAACAGAAATTTTCGGAAAAATTGAAAAATTGAAAAAAATGCTACATTAGCATTTTTTTGTCTTTTCTAGATTGAAAGTCATTCTGTTACTTTAGGAACATAAAATATGACTATGGACATTTTTACTTGGCATAAAATTATCACAACTAGCATATTAAAAATATAGTGTATCCAAACAATGATTACAAACAGAATACCCACCCACATGCAAAAAGAAAACTGAAACTTTTTTATTTTCTTCTGACAATCGCACCTCCTAAAGGAAGAAATGCATCTTCTTCTTGCATTGGAGGGGTCAGTTTGTAACCTAGGACTTGCTTGTCCTCAGTGCACAGAAATTAGATCAATCTGATACCATATATATATATTTTAGAAATGATTTGGAAAATATTTGAACACCTTGTCTTAAAATATTTTATTCACCGTGTTAAAATAAAACGTTCCATAATCAATTTTTTTTCTTTTCTTTTTTCAATTTTTCCGATTTTTCGGAAAAAAACAAAAAAGCCTTCAGGAATAAAACAGAAATAAAACAGAATAAAACAGAAAAAAACCGGGGTTTTCCCTAATTTTTCCGTTTTTTTTCCCGGGCCTTCACATCTCTAAGTTGGAGCCTGTTCCACCAGGTAGGGGCCAGGACAGAAAAGGCCCTGACCCTGGTTGCGTCTAAGTGGACATCCTTTGGGCCAGGGATGACCAGGAGATGCTGATCAGCGGAGCGCAAGGCTCTCCAGGGGGTATGAGGAGAGAGGCGGTCCCTTAGATATTTTAATTATTATATATTCTTATTAGATATTATTAGATATTTTAAGATAAACATTGCAAAGTGCCCTGAGCCGTCGTGCTACAGCAGGACATAAGCCCTAATGAGGAGGACAAAATGAGCAAAGACGAAAACTAAGCATACTGGAGGGGGAGGGGGATGGAGAGATTGACACATATGGGCTGGATACTCACAAAGGCACTTTCTCCTCCGTGGTCAGGCTGAACAGGACTTTCCCCAGCACCACGGTGCCTGTGTTCACCCCGGCTCTCAGGGTATTCAGGGGCCGCTGCTCTAGCTCCACCTTCTGACCCGAGGGGCCCTGGTAACGGCCGTCCCCGCAGGGGCCTAGCTGAGAGGGACGCAGGCTTCCCAGCATGCTTTGCATCTTCTTCCCTTTCACCTTTCCCTGAAAGGGAGAGAGCGGCAGGCTTAGTCGACGCGGCTGAGGGGGGACAGTGCCCTACGCACGCGAGGCTGCGGAAAGGCAAGGCATCCCGTCTCGTTGCCGCGATACCTTGTTTTCAAGGAGGCCGGTGAGCCTCTCCAGGAAATCGACAAGGTGCTGCTCCCGTTGACGTGGTTCCGGCCAAGCTGGGTCGAGGGCTCCGGCCCGTGCGAAACCCTCCAGAGCCGCCGTGTAGTTTTCTTCATACTTATAGAGCTACCCAAAAAGGACACAGCGCAGGGTGACAGGTTAGAGGAGAGGGGGGAAGTCCCACAGGAATCAGAACTTGTAGCGCTATAAATGAGGCAAGAAAGGGAGGCGGGACAGGCCAAGGTGTCAAAACACCCAAGGTCCTGTTTCCAATGTTCCCTCTAAGCTGTGGAGTCCTGTGAGCAAAAATTCTACTCTGTGAGCTACTGGCATGAAATTTGTGAGCAAGCAATTTGGCTACTGCATAACTCAGTTGGCTCTGGAGCCCTCCTTCCTGAGCGAAGACAAAAATCTGTGAGCTGGAGGCTGAAAAACTGTGAGCTAGCTCACACTAACTCAGCTTAGAGGGAACACTGCCTATTTCTCATTCTGGGAGGGGTGCAACGTCTGATGGGCTGATGTTCTGAAGAAAGCAAGGCTGCAATAACGTGCCTGCTAAAACCACATCATGTCCCCTTGGCTTAAAGTGTGTTTAGAAAAAGAAGAGAGAAGAAGAGATTGGATTAACACCCCACCCTTCACTGAGTCTCAGAGTGGCTTGCAATCTCCTTTCCCTTCCCCTCCCCACAACAGACACCCTATCAGCAGTGTTCCCTCTAAGCTGAGTTAGTGTGAGCTAGCTCACAGTTTTTTAGCCTCCGGCTCATGCATTTTTGTCTCAGCTCGGGGAAAATGGCTCCAGAGCAAACTAATCTGTCCAGTAGCCAAGTCGCTCGCTCACAACTTTAATACCAGTAGCTCACAAAGGAGAATTTTTGCTCACAAGACTCCACAGCTTAGAGGGAACATTGCCTGTGAGGAGGTAGCAAAGTCGCTCGCTCACAACTTTAATACCAGTAGCTCACAAAGGAGAATTTTTGCTCACAAGACTCCACAGCTTAGAGGGAACATTGCCTGTGAGGCAGGTGGGAATGAGAGAGCTCTTGAGAGAACTGATCTTGAGAGAACAGCTCTGAAAGAACTACGGCTTGCCCAAGGTCACCCTGCAGCTGCATGTGGAGGAGTGAGGAATCAAA